GGATGGCACAGCAATGGCAAATTGCTCTAAATGTTTCTGAACGCTAACTGTTGGTTTCCATACCTCTCTCGTCTGGTGCAGAGCAGCATCGGGCCAAACCCACTTTGCATAAGGCTAATCCACCTCACTACACACTCACTCCAGGCTGAGGATGTGAAGGGCTGAGGTGGGCGCCGAAAAAAATTACTTCTATGGATTCCAAAGACTGAACTATTAACCTCCACCTCTCACCCCAATATTAAGGATTCGTGAGAGACTGGCTCTGTGTTCCTGTTTTGGATGACTTAGGGAGAGAGAGGTCCCCTGTGTTTTGAGATTAGTTAGCTCCAAAGGTCCCTCCAAAACCAAAACACTAGAATTCCATCTCCTTTTGCAAAGCCCCAGCTCAGCCGAAGTGTTTGCAGGGCCAGCTGTTTTTGTTCATGCGCTCATTAATAAAAGTAGTGAATGCAACAATAGCCACGCTTTTCTTTCCTTTGTCATGTCCTGAAAGGGGGCAGGGAGGGAGCAGGAGAGCCTGCAGACGCAGGGGACGTGCCAGACGTGCAACAGGAAGGGCTCAGCGAGATGAGGGCTGTGAGGAAGGAAGGCAGGTGGGCGGATGGCAGGCGGCGCCAGGCGGAGGGGCGGGGGAAGGGGCCGTGTGACAAAGGCAGACTGACACATGCAACCAATTACCCTAGGCAGTGCGGTGGGGGTGCACCTGAGAATTAAAGAACACCTGGCAGTTTCTGGAGCAGAGGAGGATTAGGAGCTGCTGAAGCAAATGGGGCTGATGATAGAGCAGGGCTGAGTGAGATGGTGGGACTCTCTGAGAACTGCTCAGGGAACTTGCTTGGGGACTTTCTTTTGATCCCTTGATGATTGGGAGGTGGATATTTATCACAGTCTATCAGTAAGGCCCAGGCAGGGGTGGGGTGCTCTCTAGGTCTTTTTTTTTTTTTTTTCCCCAGAGACTTGAAAGAGGGAAATTGGTTACAGAGATGACAGAAAACTTCTTTGGGTTAGAGGGAGCATGAAGTTCTGAGGAGCAAAGATTCTTCAGCGAGTGTTGCCATATTAAATACAAGACACTGGTTAAATTTGAATTTCACATTCATAAATAATTTCTGGTATAAAATATTTCGTGTATAATGTAGTACATGCCACAGAATTGTACATTTTAAAATGATTTAAGCGGTAGGTCCTGTTACATGTATTTTACCATAATAAAAAGATTAAATTATAAAATTATATTCTGTTTATCTGAAATTTACATTTAACCAGTGCCCTGTATTTTATTTATTGCATCTGGCCACCCTACACTCAGCGGGAGCTGGGGGGGAGGAGAGGGTGGCTCCCTAGGAGGATTTGGGGCCGCAGAGGAGCCAGCTGCTCCTGCTCCTGCTGGTGTCGCTGGAGACACAGCGGGAAGTGCAGAGAATGCAGGAGAAACGTCTGGCTCCGCCCCTCCTCCCCACCCTCCAAAGACCCTCCAGCTCCTCCCAGCAGCCAGAGCTCCTGGGAAGCCAGAGGGCAAAGGAGCCTCAGAAATGCAGGGGTAAGCAAAGGATCGAAGAGCAGACATGAAGTTATTTTAAATGACCCAGGAGGTCAGACTTGCCAGGCCCACTGACCACAATTTTGTCTTACCCACGGGCTGAAATGAAGCCCCATGCCTCAGTCAGGTCATCCAGGTCTTTGATCCCTCAGGGGAGGAATTTCCCTCTACCCTTATAGGTTCTTTGAGCTGGTCTATTAATTAAATCGACATGAGACGGGTTGACAAGAGAAAATAACCTAATTTAATTACATATATATGTACAGGAACCACACACACGAGAGGTTCGGAGACAGAAACGTAAAATGAGGTATATATGGCAGGCTGAGCTCAGGATGAGGTAAGACACCTGAGACTTCAGAAGGGAGGGGGGTCATTTGTAGGAGGATAATACGAGCAGATGTTCAGTAATTAGATGCTTGCCTTGCAGACATAGGTCATAAAAAGTTATTTTGGGTAGTAACTCTTATGGGCAAAGCCCTCAATTTGAATTTTTTAAGGGAGAGGTAAAAGTCTCTCGAACCCAAAGGGTCTTCATTGCCTTTAGCTCAAAATAATCCAGAGTGGCACATGTTAGGGAGGTCTGTTCTGAACCCTTCACTCTCACTCTGCTCTCCAACAGAAAGTGTTCATCCACCTGGTGCTAGCAGAGCCAAACACTAACACCGAGAAAGATTGGCTATTTCATTGATGAATGGCACCATCCATTAATGCTCAAAAGCCCAGACTCTACACAATGGTGTTAGGTTACAGATTATATAGCACAAAATCAGAAGACACCTGGGTTAGGGGGTTTGGGGTCATGCTGGGAGCTGGGGAGCTGATTGGTCGCAGGTGAGGTAAGGGTAATAAATCACTTCTTTAGGTATTGAGGACAGCTCTAAGGTCTTCTTTGACGTCCCTCTGTCTGGTTTCATGGGAAAGTAGCCCAGGAGTCATTCTACCTTAGGGCTCAGGAGCTGAAACATAACTTAGGTCAAGATGTTATCTTTAGCCTGCTGAGGTCGGGACCCTGTGACCATTAGTCATGTCCAGACTACCGTCTTTTGCTGCCTCGGGGGGTTGCTGATTATCCAGGGGAAAGGCTAGGTCTGTGGTGGGGGTAGAGAGAGAGGAAAAAAAAATTATTTCTAAAGCTATAGTCACAAACCAGATCAAACTCATAAAGACCCTCAGTTTCAGAATTAATGAGTTCAACAAGTTTGCAGGATACAAGATCAATGTACAAATTTCAGCTGTCTTTCGCAGCTTCAAGCTAGGAATCTAGGAGGGTTGTAGTTGGGACATGAAGGATATGGTTCCCACCTTGTAGCTGGGCCCCTGATCTAGTCATTCCTTTATCCAACATCTACTTATGAGATAGGCGCTACCCACAGCAATGGAGTGTATGGTAGTAAGTTAGACACATTCCACATACTCGGAGTACTTAAGGTTCTAGTCATTTGGGGGATATGAAATGCAATGGGAATTAACCAAAACACAAGACATAAATGACAAATGGGAGACTAGTAGAGAAATGGCAAGGAAGCTCCTCACGATAAATAGGAAATAGATGGTCCAGGGGATACCTACAGTAGGTATGTACTGTACCCAGCCTGGTACTAGGTGCTGGGGACAGCAGAATAGAATTGGACACATGCTCCTTTCTCCAGGAGCTCAGGAAGTTGCTTATAAGAATCCCCAGAGACAACCACAAATATTTGCTCACTCATCTTGGCTTCTCATAACTCTAGAGGGAGGACATTGGAGGAAGAGAGCAGATTTAGTTGCCCACACAGTTCTTGGGCTCCCGACAAGCTCTGCCTCCAGCTCTGCAGGTCTTGAGGCCTCAGTGTTCTCTGCCAGTGCTCTGTGATTTCTTTTGTCCCATTGTGTTGATACTTCTTGGTTCCACGTCTGCTTACTTCTGACAGCCCCCAAGCAGTGGTAAGAACTGCATCTAGTCATGTGTAACCCTGGAGCACCAAGCTCAAAGCTATGAACGAATGTCTTGCATGTTTACCCAGCACCCTGTGTAGGAGGAGCAGAAAATTGGAACTGGCTCTGGTGTCAGGCTGCTGAGGTTGAATCCTAGCTCTGCCAATGCCCAACTCGAATAAAGTTATATAAACTCTTAGAGTATTTCTTCATTTGTAAAATGGAAGTAATAATACCTCATGGATTTGTTAGGCTGAATAGGATAGTGCCTATAAAAGTGCTTAGACCTGTGCCTGTTAGCTGTCATTATTTATTAATCCCATTCATAGATTTAGAAACCAATAATAAATTTGCTCTCAACTGCCTATCTTCAGGTCATTGTTTTTCAGTCTTTGGGTTATGAACAACTAGTGTGTTATGAAATCATTTTAATAGGCATAATACATTTAGAAAGGTTTCCATAGACCTACCCAATTCCAACGTGTGGGCCCCCTGTACTAACAAACAATTCTTGAACATCAGCCAGGTGTCCAAGAATTCAACTGAATTCTGACACTCTACCCAGAGCCAGCAATAGACTCTACAAGCTAAGGGTTAAGTCCTACAAGATTGCCACTATGCACGCGCACACACACACACACACACACACACCCCAAGGCACAAAGGATAAAATGCCATTCAGCCACCTCTTACCTGTGCTTCTGCTTCTGACCAATCGGCTATAGATTAGAGATTCTGATGACCCCCTCCAACTCAGAATGCCTATCACAAGTCCAGGTTGTTACTTATACTTCTGACCAACTGGTAATAAATCAGAGGTTCCCACAATCCCCTTCTTGGGTTTGATTAATTTATTACAATGGCCCTGGCTCACAGAACTCAGAGAATCATGTTACCTACAAGATCACTATTATTGTAAAAAGATGTAACTTAGGAACAGCCTGATAGAAGACAGGCATAGGACAACCTGTGCCAAAGGGTTGTGGGGCTTCCATGCCCTCTCCCAGCTCGCCACTCTCCCTGCATCTTCACCTGTTCACCAACCCAGAGGTTCTCTAAAACCCGTCCTCTTGGGGTTTTATGGAGGCTACAATTACATAGACATGATTGATTCAATCACCGGCCGTTGCCAATTGATTCAATCTCCATCCCTTCTCCCCTCTTTGGAGGTGTGTGTCTGTGTTGAAGGGGGGCACTAAAAGTTTCAACTCTCAAATCACAAGGTTGGTTCTCCTGGCAACCAGCCCCCACCCTGGGGTGCTACCAAAGTCATCTCATTTGCATAACAAGAGACACTTTATCACTCTCAACACTTGCAAAATTCCTAGGGTTTCCGGAACGGAACTGTGAGCCAGAAACTACAGACAAAAAGACTAAATACAATCTACGGCCATGCCACCCTGAACAAGCCCGATCCCGTCTGATCTTGGAAGCTAACTTGGATGGGAGACCATCTAGGAAGACCAGGTGCTGTAGCAGTAAAAAAAAAAAAAAAAATAGCTCTTTCTCCACCATCGTGGTGCATGCCGTTAAGTGTTATTCGCCATGTCTTCTCACAAGACTTTCAGGATCAAGTGGTTCCTGGCCAAGAAACAAAAGCAGAATCGGCCCATTCCTCAATGGATTCAGATGAAAACTGGTAATAAAATCAGGTACAACTCCAAGAGGAGACACTGGAGAAGAACCAAGCTGGGCCTGTAAGAAATCACACATGAGATGGCACACATGTTTCTGCTGTATCCAGGATGCTTGGATGTTACTAAGGTACTGAGAAGATCACTACTATCTGGAGAGTTGGGCATGTTTTATTGAGAAATTATTGGAAAAATGATTTTCTTCTTTGTGTAATATGCTTCTGCACTAGTAGGTTGGTTCAGTAATAACTATGTGAAGCTTTAAAAAATAAAATAAATAAAAAATTTTAATTGCTTAACTGAGTTGAACTATCAGATAGAAGATTCTGGTGCTGTGTAGACACACTTTCTTGACAGATCAATCAAGGATTGCCTCACTTAAAAAAAAAGAAAAAGGAAAAAAGAAAGAGAAAATTATAAAAAAAAAAAGACTAAATACATATGAGAAATAATAACCAAATATATATATTTTTATAAATCACAATATTACAGAGCTTTAAATATTTATTATAATTGAACAAAAGACAAGTATGGAGGAAAAAAGAGGAAAATAATAGAAAATATTAGTGTATCACATGTAGCAAGGGTAAGTATTGCTCTGTGAAACTAGAATTCAGTTGTGTGTGAGGGGGTGAATGGGAGTATGTGGAGTATGTGTGTGCATACAATGTTGGGATGTAAAATGTATTTCTTTTTTTTTTTAACATTTTATTTTTTTTTTTAATTTTTATTTTTTCCCCCTCCCGTCTCCCCTCTGGTAACCACTAGTCCATTGTCCACGTCCATGAGTCTCTATTTGTTTGTCTTGCTCATTTGTTGCTTTTGGGTTTATATCCTACATATAAGTGATATCATGTGATTTTCAATTTTTTCTGTCTGGTTTATTTCACTTAGCACGATTATTTCAAGGTTCATCCA